CAAAATGAACTTGACGCAGAACGCGAGAAAGTAGCCTTGCTTCACCAACAAGGTTCTCAACAAGCAGAGTCGTTGAAAGAACAGGGTGCTCAACAGTTTGAACTGTTGAGACAGCACAGGCTGCTGCTGGTGGGTCGATGCACTCGCGTCGACCCGAAACCTTGAAGATTGACATCTCCAAGTATAGGGGGGTCGAAGAAGACTCCCTCTTGAGATGGTTCGTCGAATTGGATGACGCCATAAGGGCGCGTCGCATCGACGACGGGGATATGCAAGTTGCATTTGCCCAGTCAAATCTGGCAGGACGTGCCAAGACTTGGGCACTGGGGCTCAAGTTACACGACCCATATGCGTTTGGGTCGTTGGAAGTCTTCAAGTCGCGGCTCAGACAAACGTTTGAACCGCCTAGAGCAGAGTTCAGAGCTCGAACCGAACTCTTGAAGCTCAAGCAGGGTAAGCGTGATGTGCACGCTTACGCGCAACATATACGACATCTCACGAGTTGTATAAGTTCCAATCCGGTGGATGAACACACGTTGGTTTCGGTGTTCATGCAGGGTCTTGCGGATGGTCCCGTCAAGACTCACCTGTTCCGGCTTGAACTAGATTCACTAGAACAAGCCATTTCCATTGCGGAACAGGAAGACTTCAGTCTGAGACAGGCTCGCGCCAGCTCGACATCATATCGTTAGCCGAACGATATGACAGCGGAGGTCCAGAGCCGATGGAACTCTTTTATGTAGAGAGCGAGAAGGCTCGCTCTACAGACTACAAGAAGTTGCAGAGATGCAACAGATGTCAAAAGACAGGACACTACGCTTACGAGTGTAGTGCCCCTCGTCCAGTGTCTTTGTAGGCCTCTTGATGAAGGTTGCTCCCAACACACAAACGTTGTGCGTTGCTGCTCTAGGTAATGAGGTCTCACTCATTACCTTGAAACTCGAAGTGACAAATAAGTTGTCCCTTCGAGCTCTAGTCGATTGTGGGGCGTCCAACAGTTTTGTGCGACGCGAATCGCTAGAAGATGGTCACTTTAAGTTCAGTGAATATGACACACCTCCTACGAGGATGACGGTACGTCTTACGACAGGCGCATCCGTAACCGTCATGAAGCGTATAGTGAAGATCCACTATACGCTAGAAGATACCCAATATGACGATGACTTTATCGTATTGGATTTGGATGACAAATTTGATGTCATCCTTGGAATACCGTGGCTCAGAAGGTACGAACCACGGGTAAACTGGCAACATTAAACAGTAACGATGCCTGCCGCTTGTTCATCAGATGGCCATCTGATGAACGTTTTGGAGCGTCCACAAGCGTGTGGATGTACTGCGAGTGATTGCGATGACCTCACTTGTGGTACGGTCGTTAGTACGACTGCACAAAACCTTAGTGTACCAAACGGTTACACTTCGGAGCAAAGTTCCGGCGGCTGTGAGGAAACACAGGCTGCGCCGAAGGTCCACCACTCGAATAAGTCGAGTGGACCGGGACAAAGATGTATCCCTAGAGGGGAACATCTAGAGGAGAAACTATCGATCGCTCAGGTTAAGCGAAACGATAATCCTAGATCGACTGGAGAGTCTTTCGTAATGGATCTCGCTGTGGTTGCGCAACCCCAGCTAGAGGAAGTTAGGGGAATAAGTCCCGATATTACAAATACGGCGGAAATAAGTTCCCCGAAACCCGCGGGAATAAGTCCCCGGGAAGACGAAGGAATAAGTCTTTAGAGGCCTGAGGGAATGAGTCCCCAGGAAATGACAGAGACATTGAATGTCATAGTCAATGACGGATCAAGTGTAGGCGCTTATACAATTGATCTGATTGCGCCTCCGAAGTTAACTTCGGAGATCACTCAGTTGCCAACGCTCGAACATAAAAGGTTCTTGCGTGATCTGCGTAGTGGCAAAGTCAAGCAGATCTGCATACTCGTCGCTGACGACGAGTGTGTAACCGACATCAGCAACAGTGTTCACTGAGAACGAGAGAGTTCTCAGTAGTTCATCTATGGACGAGAATGTCCTCGCTGAAAAGACACGAGTTGAGCGATATGACTCCCAATCGTGGGAATCGCTCAAGAAAAATCCTCTCTATGAAGATTTGGTTGAATTCAAGGATGTATTCCCTGAAACTGTTCCGTGCGAATTACCGAAGGATAAAGGTATTCGACACGAGGTCGAGCTTAAACCAGGCTCGAAGTACTGTGTCATGAAGCAGTGGCCACTGCCTCGTGAACAAGTACTTGCGATCGACAAGTTCTTTGCCGATCGTTTAGCTGCGGGCCATGTGAGGGAATCAACTTCCCCACATAGCTCTCTGAACTTCTGTGTGCGAAAAGCAACAGGAGGGTGGCGGATAGTGCATGCATTTAACAAATTGAACGCTGCAACGGTACCGGCTCAGACGCCGATACCGAGGAAGGACGTAATCATTGATGGTATGTCAAAGAGTACCATCTTTTCGTCCATGGATTTGATGGATGGCTTCTATCAAATCCTTATGCGGGAACGGGATATACCCTATACCGCAGTTAGCACGCCTAGAGGCATGATCTGGGAATGGCTAGTAATGCCACAAGGGCTCAGTAATGCCCCTGCCACGTTCAACAGGTGTGTATCACATCTGTTGAGGCCAGTACGAGAATTCGCGCCGAGTTATTTCGATGACGTATTCATCCATAGTCGAGCTATGGATGGAAAGTCGGACGTTGAGGTTCACAAGTACCACGTCCGACAAGTTCTTACAATCATGCGAAAGCATCAATTGTATGCAAACCTCAAGAAGTGTATATTTGCAGCAAGCGAAATACCACTTCTTGGGTGCATCATTGGTAAGAACGGTGTACGTCCTGATCCCGAAAAGATCAAGGCGATCACCGACTGGCCTGTGCCGGTTGATGTCAAAGGTCTTCAAAAATTCCTTGGGCTAGCGGCGTATTTGCATAAGTATTCACGCAATTACGCCGAGATGACTGTGCACCTCTCTCGTTTATTGAAAAAGAGCGAGAGGTGGTTATGGAACGCTGAATGTCAGCGCTCCTTTGATGGTATCAAGCAGAGCTTGATACAATCCCCAGTCCTAGCAATAGCCGATCAGGACAGGCCATTTCATGTGGTCTGTGATGCCAGCGATTTCGCAATCGGCTGTGCATCAATGCAGTACGATCTTGAAGGCGTTGAACGCGTCGTATGCTATCAGTCGCGTCAGCTGCAACCAGCTGAGCGGAACTATCCAGTGCATGACAAGGAACGCCTTGCCATGAAGTATGCACTCGCGAAGTTCAGAGTCTATCTATTAGGAGATAGACCCTTCATTGTTTACACTGACCATGCGTCATTACGCACGGCAGTGAACAGCCCGCACCTTTCACAACGAATGGCGCGGTGGTTGTCATTCTTTGCAGAATACAACTTTACGGTCGAGTACAAACCAGGACGACTTAATGTCGTCGCTGATGCACTCTCACGTCGTCCCGACTTTGAACCAGTCGTGAAACCCAGCAATGAGACAGTCACTGTTGCGGTTATGACGTCCTCAGTCCCATCTACAACGTTGTATGATGATGTGAGGCGGGCATACGCCCAAGATGGTGAAATTGTGAAGCTGTTGGCACATCTCTCACAACCATCTCGAGAATCGTTGAAATGATTGTCGTCTGCGTATCGATCTGCATCAGATCGATACACAACTCGCAACGGGTTACTGTATTATACAGCCGTTTCTGGTGACACACCACGTGTTGTCATTCCAGATGATACTGATTTGCGTTTGCGGATCATGTTCGAGTATCACGATACTCCTATAGGAGGACATCGTGGCCGGGAGAAAACACATCTCACGGTGAGTCGAGACTTTTACTGGCCCCGCCAGTATGAGTTTGTGCGAAAGTATGTTCGCGCATGCGAAGTCTGTCAACGAGTGAAGTCAAGTCCTTCACTGCGTGCACCTTTACAGCCTCTACCAATTCCGGCTGAGTGCTGGGAGTCCATCTCAATGGATTTCGTCTTCGGGTTACCCAAAGACGCACGCGGGAATACGGGTATTCCCGTATTTGTTGATAGATTCAGCAAAATAGTACACCTTGTGGCTGTACCAGAGTCAATCACGGCAAGTGGCTGTGCTTGTGTCTTTATTGCCACCATCTTCCGACTTCATGGGTTGCCCCGTGAACTCGTATCAGACAGAGATCCACGATTCACTGCTGATTTCTGGCGTTCCGTGTTCAAATCACTCGGAACGCGCTTGAAGATGTCAACATCTGATCATCCAGAGTCAGATGGTTAGACGGAACGTGCCAATCGTGTCCTTGAAGAGATACTTTGAGGATACGTACACTCCTTTAAGAGTTGGAGTGAGTTTTTGCCAATGGTAGAGTTTGCCGCTAACAACTCGGTGCATGCGTCCACAACACATACACCGTTTTACGTGAATGGCTTACGCCATCCGCGTGTACTTACCTTACTAGAGTGTAACTCTGGTTTAAGGGGGGGAGGGACTCGCGCGAGCAAAAACCGAATTGGTTCAGGCTCATCACGCTCTGACGAAGAGGTCATTGCGTTTGATGCCGATATCGATAACATCGATTTCGAAGAAGATGATGCCAGTGAGATTGCGGAAGCCCTCACTGAAGAAAAGATTGATGTTGCTGCAGTGCACTCACAGCGCACTGAAGCTAACGAGTCATCAGATGAGTTCATACTGGCTCGTGAAACGGTAGTCCGTTTTGTGCAAGACTCCATCGTCGAAGCGGTGGATAAGCAAAAGCAAAACGCTGACAAGAATGGAAGGGCAAACACTCTTTTATTTAATAAAGGTGACTTAGTCCTACTGTCTACGGCTAATCTACCAAAGCATGTAGTGACTAACTTCGGTAGCAGTAAACTACTACCCAAGTACACCGGCCCATTTCGTGTATTGCACCGCCTAGGCAATGCATACACGATCGAGTTGCCACATAAGATGCGAACGCATCCCACGTCTTACGTTGGTCGGCTTAAGCCGTACCATCAGTACGCTGCTTCTTCCGATGAAGAACGCCCTTGCGCTCAAGCATCTCGCAGAGAGCCTTGTTCTCCCGATGGTGGGCATCAAAAAGGGTCTGAAGAGCAGTTATCTCATCCCGAGACCGATCAACAATCCCACGAGTTACCCTTAGCTCGTCACGAAGAGATGTCAGAGCTCTCTCGTTCTCAAGCTGAGCAAAGGCAAACTCAGCTCGATGCTTCGAGACAGTGTCCACCATTTGGAGACGCCTGTCCCGCTCATGTTCGAGATCACCGCGTAACCCTTGCGTTACGCGATCAAAGAAGCTCTCGGGAACACACGGATCCCCACGATCGTGTTAAGAGCGTCTTCCCTCCACCTCCACCTCCATTAGAGGACTCTCGCGGTGGCCAGCGCTATCGGGTTGAGCTGCTGTTGAACCACCGCGACGTGAACGGACGTCGGACGAGTTACCTCGTCTGGTGGCGCGGTATCCCCCTTTTTGGGATACTTGGGAGCCCCGCTCCCAACTGATGATTGACGTACTGGGTCTGGTTGAGCAGTATGACGCGGCACATCCTGTGCCGCAGAAGGACCGCCGGAGAAAGTCTTCCCGGCACGGTCGTAAAGGGATTTCAGGTTGTCAATCCCTTCGTACATCTCACTAGAGATACGTACGCGCCACCACGGGCTATTAGGGAGGTAAGCCTCCTTAGGTGCTCGTGCAGAGTTGTTCACACAACATGGGCACGAGTCTCCCCAAGAGAGGCAGGGTAATCCCTTCTCCCTTGACAGACGATGCAGCTTGCAGCGTGCACCTGTCGCAGTTCGCTTTTCAAACTTATCACGAGCTTTGGTAAGTTTGTCGTTCCAAACGTCACGACCTACATCCTCAAGGTTATGGAAGTAGGCGTTCCACTCTTGAAGTAGTGAGGGACCATCACGTTTGTGATTCCCACTGTACCATCGATGTCTAAAGAAAGCATCGATGAAGAATTCATTCTCAGCGCGATAGTTTTCGCGCTGGGGTCAAGGTGATGGATCCTTGACGAATCGAACAACCGTGTTCGATAACGATCACTCGTCGCCGCCGACAAGTGATCCATAACAGATTTGGGAGGTATCCATGCCTTCTTCTCAGGAGCGAGACACAACACACTGCGGTCCCGCTCTTCCTGCGATGTGCCGACAGAAGTACTGGCACCTCGTTGCGAAGTGGTGTCCATAGGAGAACCGACACCACTGTTAGCGCCCGAGTCTCGCGACCTCGAGCGCCTTCGCTTCGGCGATGGTTCATCTGATTCATCAGATGAACCAAAGATGCTACGACGCATAGCATCATCCATGCCACGCTTGGCAGGCGGCTTGGATTCAATCGCCGTCGATACGGATCCGCCTTCCGTACCAGGAGAGTATGAGACACCGAGCTCATACTCTGTGAAGACATGAGTGTCTTCATGACCAGCGCCTGCATCACCAGTGACACAGGCTGAGTAGCTTCAGCAACCGATGAGACATCAGTTGCTGTGGTTTCTGCTTCGGCGTCCGCACAGAGACGTGCGGACGCGCTCTCGGCGGCCTTGCTCGCGCATCGCATGGGCTTGTTAACCATGCGATGAATTGTTGGAAAGTGGACTCGGACCAACAAGTGCAAACCTTGTCCCAAATGATTTGGGACGGGTATCCATTTAGTCAATCAGTCACTAAAGTGACTGATGGTTAAGGGGGAGGGTGATGTAACGGGGTGAATCGTTACATAATAATTTATAAGAAATTGTTAATAGAATATAACTATAAGAGTTATATTCTCAGAATATTGTCATAAGGGCAAATATTCTGTAGCACTTACGAGTAGTTCCTAACTGGTTGATATAGGCCATTATATCAACCAACGAAGACGCGCCACGACAGACGCACGCAATGAGTGGTGAGCAGATAGTTGAAATGCACATTTGTATTCAGACATAGTTAGATGAAGATAAATAGTGATTTATTGCAGACATTAACTATTATAAATACAGTTCTACTTTTTGCTTTAACCAAGTACTCGCTTCTTCTTACCGTCTTCCTCTGCACGTACGAGTGTACGTGAAGTTACAAGGCACCGCCTTATTCTGTCAACAGAATAAGTGGCTTGTACTGTCACCAGTACAAGCTTCAGGGTGCCCCGTTACAGGCGTCAGTTTACCGATGATCAAGTTCGAGGCGCAGGTGGGATAGAGGTAATGGAAGGTAATTTCTGAACCGCTAAACGCCAGTGAAACACTTAAGTTGTGCTGCCGAGATCCGTCTTATAGAATAAAACGCTTTCTTGACCATAGATCGGCGGAAGCAGCGGCCCGAGCAGCCGTCACTCCTGGCGCAGGGCCAGAATATACCCCATCGGTCTTCAAATTAGCTGCTCCAGGTATAGTGGAGCGGCCACAATTGGTACTTACCACTGCTAGCGCGAGATACGGTATCTTGGGTTCTATCCCCTCAGCACATTCCTGAGCGATGATGGCTCACAAAACTAATCGTGGGTCGAAAACCCCATGGGTTGCCAGCCTTTTTCTGCTCCAACCCAAATCAGTGCAGGGCGATTTACGGCTGCATCGGACATGAATGCCCCAGACCTTACGACAACGGAAGCTACTGTTGCGCCCCCGTTCATTGACAAGACAAATTCTGAATTGGCGGAGCCTCAACAAAATTGACTAAAAAACAATTTACCTGGCACTTTAGGTCCAGAAGCGTTAGGCTTAATTGAATCGAAGCTTTCCCGTGCGACAGGGATTAGTTCCTTCTAATTTGCTCTGTGTGTGACTTGTCCGAAGATTATTTGCTTCATGCGAGAGGAACCAAAGCACGCGATTTCCACCTAACATCCCACCCGAAGTCCCGAATGACCTAAAAAGAATTGTTTAGGTACCGGGAGTCTGCGAGGTGATCACGCTAACGACCGGTTATTGCATGGCAATGGCCAAGGAAAGCCTTTCCCGAAGCAGCACTGGACAGTCCAGCTGACAATGTGTACCGGCTAGCTGTCAGCATCAAGAAAAATATCGAGTACACAGTATTATTGCACATCAAGATGCACTGAGCCCACAATTTATGGGTGGTTTATCTCTGAAAATTCCAACGAGGCTGGGCGATCATGGCTTAACAAGACTCAGTGAATTAATTCTATCGGTAATTATGAGGCTTTGCCGCTACGCCGTCGTACAAGAGGTCGCTGGTTGGCGAAACTGGATAGGTTGACAGCGATACTCTTAAAAAGGCGGTCAGTTTTCTGTGTCAGGACATCTGTGTTCTTCAGGAAGAATAAAAGACTAAGATTGGTCACACATGCCGCAAAATGTGCCCGGCTGTCGCGACGCATTATAACAAGGCCGTAGAAACAAAAAGAATTTTGAATATCCCTATCTGCAGACTTTAATGAAACACTAGCCGCAAAACTTGATCCATCAAGGAGCCATCCTCTCGTGTCAGGCTTCCTCCAGCGGCACTCCTTTTCATTATTTATTCAAATATGGGGCTGTAAAACTGGACATACGTAACGGGGCACCCTTTGTTTGGAGTGCCACGAAACTTCACGTACACTAGTACGTGCAGAGGAAGCTATTCTACTCAAACAGCAATTTGAGTAAAGGGTAATAAAGAGAACTGTATTTAATATAGTTAAGCTATCAATATGACTTCCGTCTTTATCGAACTACATTAATCTACATTGTCGTATGACGACAACCTGCTCACTACTCATTGCGCGCGTCTTTCAACGATTGGTGGTAACCTTGGTTGATATGTCTTTATCAACCAATATTTGAGCAGCGCATGAGTATTATCCGAAAAGGGGATAATATTCCTTCAATGTTATCCATCTCGGATAATATTGGTAAGGAATTGTCACGCTGGACAATCCCCCTATTGACACCGTTTGGTGTCAATATCATGTAATGGGCTACCCCGTTACAGCACATCCCCCTTTATCATCAATCACCCGTTGATTGAAATTAACTGATTTGGACAGGGTGACCACCGTTGGATCACTCTGGGAAGGAGAGCACTAGTTAGTAAAATTCCATTTGTTTGCCAATTCATCGCATGGTGTCAAAGTCTATGCAATGTGCTGATGAAGCAGCAAGAAAAGCGGTTACACGCATGCGTGGAGCCGAAGATAGTTCTTCTTTTGCTTTAGCAGCAGGTGATGCTTCGCCTGCTGTGGCGATTCAGCAACAGGCACTCACCACGTGCGACAGATACATTCGCTGCGGCTGCAGTGGGTGCCACGAATCGCAATGTAGATGAGCCTAAAATAGAGCTTATCTATTCTGGTGAGTAGGGTGATTCATCCGACTCGAAGGCGACACCTCACGCCTCCGGATCATCCGGGTCGGACACTGCAAGATCCAGATTGACTGGCTCTGGGAACGTGGCGGCATCATGCTCGAGATCTTCAGATCGAGCGATTGTTCCGACGAATACTCGCTTCACGCAAGTCCATCCGACGATAGGACGCGTGGTGATGGTGGTGATGCACCTATGCATCACCACGGAGAGAATCAACTCGAGGGATCGAGCTGCCACTTGTGTCAGTTCTCATACTGACATCACTCAAGAGACTAGGGACCGCAATGCCCTGCGCCATTCTCCTCAAGTAAAATCTCCTTGGATGCCGTCATGAAAAGAGTTAGATCGAGTGGCCGGTATAACTATTAGACGGTATCAGATCCCGTTGTTCGGCTGTAGGAGGATCTGTCATCCTAATTCCAGCACGGAAACTATCCGTGCTAAGGAAGAATTCTTCACCGATGCGTTTTTGAAACCTCGGTGGTACAATGGCAACCGTGGTCTAGACAGTAAGGCCTTGGTGCAAGGATGGAATGGCTTCATCCATAACATCGAGTGCATCTGCCGTGAGGCCTGGCTTGGTAAACTTGATGCAGCTTGCATCTGTTTTAAGAAGCGTAACCCAGTCGGTGTACGGTACAAGTTGCATTGACCGTCAAGACAGGCAGGGTTACCCTAATTCTCGTGGAGTGATTCGCGTCCAAGTTGCCTGGACAACTCGAATTGTGCCCCTAGGGAGGCATCCCTCATAATGTTCCCTACTGGAGGGCGCGCATATCTTCTGAGATGGCCGAAGGGATTAAAACTTTGCAATCCCTATACTCGCGTTCGGGGAGGTCGTTTTCCGACGGCCCTTCTTCAAACGCAGCGGGCGGGTCTCGTCATATTGCTTGATGAGACCCAGGACATCAACAATCAGCCGGGCACGAGACTCCCAGCTGTCCCAAGCCGGTGGATAGCCACGCCAGCGGACGAGGTACTCGTCCGGACGCCATTCACGTTGCGGTGGTTCAAATACGCTCCACCAGAAATCGTTGACCACCGCTTGGGTCCACCAAAGGATGTGGTAGCGGTGGGAACACCTGATCCGGCCCGAGGGTCGGATCAGCTTGATGTTCAGGAGCTGAACCGTGTAACCGATAAGTTACACATTGACGTGGCTCGTGAACGAAATATGCGTTATGAGCTCCATGACCTTGTGAAGGATAATTACAATTCCTTAGCACACGAACGTTCGGTTCGTTCTCTTCGTGACGAGCTGACTGCAGCTCGTCAGGACATCGCTCAACTGCGTGAACAGGTCGCTTCGCTAGTCGACCAGCCTGGCTTGTCAAAACGGGACCACACGAGGATAATCTCAGCCCTTGACCGCGGGGGTGTTCTCCGCCTCTCGAAACGGTCTCGTACTGATAGTACGGGCGGAGACGTCCAACGTAAAACGTAGGATGCGTACGCATCCTACGAGGCATTTCAACCGTGTATGCGTTGCCCATTCGGCGCAACACACGAAATGGACCGATATACTTGGGCAGTAATTTACTGCTGCCCACGTTCGTCACTGCGTGTTTCGCTAGATTTACTGTGGAAAGTAAAACTAAGTCTCCTTCATCAAATGAAAGAACATTTTCTCTTCCATATTTGTCTGCGTTTCTTTTCTGCGTGTCTATTGAATCTGCAGTAGAGTCTTGAGCGAAGCGGACAACCGCTTCGCGAGTCAGAAGAGATTCCTCTGCTAATTAATCCTTGTCAACAGCATTGCGCTTCGTGTGTACTGCTTTGTCTTCATCAGTGAGGGCGTCATCGCCCTCACTTGAAGCAGTCGTTGGCGATGCTGAATGTACCAGCATCGTCGTCATTATCGTCATTGGTGTCGATGTAATCGACAACGGAATCCATCACGTCGACACCATTATCGAAGTGCGATGAGCAAGAAACAGGTCGGGTTTTGCTCGAGCGATCCATTCCCCCCTTAAACTAGAGTCATACTCTAAGAAGCGGGTTCGCGTGGATGGCGTATTACATCCACGAAGAACGATGTATGCGTTGCCAACGCATGCACCGAGTTGTTGATGGCGAATTCCGCCATCGGCAAGAACTCACTCCAACTCATAAACGAGTGGACATACCCTTGAAGTATCTCTTTGAGGACGCGGATGAAGCGTTCCAAGTGAACGGAACACGGGTTGCCAGGACTCCGAAGCGGGGGTCCCTATCAGACACAAGTTCACGGGGTAACACGTGAAGTCGGGAGATAGTATAGATGAAGACATGAGCACAGCCCTGGGCTATGGTTGACTCCGGTACAGCAACAAGATGGTACCATCTTGCTGAACCGATCAACAACACAAGAATACCAGTTTTCTTGTGAACGTCTTTGGGAAACCCAAAGACGAAGTCCATCGATACGGACTGCCAACACTGCCAGAATCGGAAGAGGGTGCAAGGGTGCGCAAGATGAAGGAATAGGCTTCACCCGCTGACAAACTTCGCAAGCGCGAACGTTTTTGCGCACAAACTCATACAGGCGGGGCCAGTAGAAGTCACGACTTACCGTAAGGTAATACTTTTCTCTACCGCGATGCCCACTTGTTGGAGCATCATGACACTCATACATGATGAGCAATCGCAAATCACCGTAGCGGAAACGACGAGACGAGGCGTGTCGCCCGTGACTGCTGCATAGTACAACAGTCTATCACGAACCGAATACCGTTCGAATGAAGAGCGGTATAGAGACTTCAAGCTTTTCAAAGCTTGACTGCATGGATTAGACACGTAATCCATCAATCGCAGAAGATACTCATCTTCTGCGTATGCCTTCCGCACATCGTCGAGCAGATTCGACGATGGAACACGCACTGATAGTGTTGCAACAGTGGAATTACCCCCACTCTTGGGTTGAGCAGTCGGCTCCTGATCAGGCCGACGCGAAAGAGCATCAGCAGCGACATTAAGTCTTCCTGGTTTATACTCGACGGAGAAGTTAATTAAGCTCAGCTGCTTGCAGCTGACGCGATTGATTACAGACGACGCGCTCAACGCCGTCTGAGCCGTACTGCATTAACGCGCAGCCGATTGCAAAATCGCTGGCGTTACAGACCACATGGAATGGTCTGTCCTGGTCTGCAATTGCCAACACAGGCGATCGTATCAAGCTTTTCTTGATACATTTGAAGAAGTGCTGACACTCAGCGCTCCATGACCACCTTTCGTTTTTCTCTAGCAGACGAGAGAGATGTACGGTCATATCGGCGTAGTTGCGAGAGTACATGTGCAATTATGCCGCCAAGCCAATGAACTTTCGAAGTCCCTTGACGTCGACTGGCACAGGCCAGTCGCTAATCGCCTTGATCTTTTCTTGATCAGGTGGTACGCCATTTTTGCCCACGATGCAGCCAAGAAGTGGTATTTCGTTCGCTGCGAATATGCACTTCTTGAGGTTCGCGGACAACGTATGCTCTCGTATTAGTATAAGACACTTCCGGATGTGGATTCTATGAACATCTACGTCCGTTCTTCCATCCATAGCCTGGCTATGGACGAAGACATCGTCGAAGTAACTTGGTGCGAAGTCGCGCACCGATCGCAACAGGTTCATAACACATCTGTTAAACGTTGCGGGGGCTTTATTTATCCCCTGTGGCATCACTAGCCACTCCCAGCGCATATCACTAGGGTTGCTCACTGCTGTGTGCGGGATATCCCGTTCACGCATGAGGATCTGATAGAATCCATCCATCAGATCCATGGACGAAAAGATGGTACTCTTTGCCATACCATCTATGATTACGTCCTTCCTTGGTATCGGCATTTGAGCCGGTACCGTTGCAGCGTTCAATTTTTTGAACGCGTGCACTATCCGCCACTCTCCTGTGGCCTTTCGCAAACAGAAGGTCGGAGAGCTGTGTGGGGGTGTTGATTCCCTCACATGACCAGCCGCTAAGCGATCGGCAAAGAACTTGTCGATCGCTGTGGCCTGTTTACGAGGCAGTGGCCACTTCTTCATGACACAGTATTTCGAACCGGGCTTCAGTTCGATCTCATGCCAAGTGCCCTTGTCCTTGGGCAGCTCGCGTGGCACGGATTCTGGGAAACATCCCTGAATTCGACCAAATACTTGTACAAAGGATTTGTCTTCAAAGACTCTCAAGATTGAGATGTGTATCGCTCAATCCGGGTCTTCTCATCGAGAACGCTCATCCATCAATGAGCTACTGAGAACCCGTTCGTTCTCAGTAAACACTTGTGCCGACCGAATATCGGCGACGTGCTCGTCTCTGTGACGAGTACGCGTATCTGATTGATCTTGTCACTACGAAGATCTCGCAAGAATCTTTTAGATTCTAGCGTTGGCAACTTGATTACCTCCAAAGCTGACTTCGGAGGTGTAACCATATCAAGTGTATAGGCACCTACACTTGATCCATCATTCACCAAGACGTTCACTGTCTTGGTAATTTCCTGGGAAAACACATCCGCAGGTGGTTAAGGATCCACACACTCAACATAACTCTCTCGGGAGTTATCACTATCAGGAACGCTGAAACTTTCTTCCAATACGTGTAATGACTGTGGGTGTACTACCACAGTCACTTCCTCTTCGATCGACTCTCTTTCAGTTGATCGGGCTTGCTCTACGATCGACTCTCTGTTAGTCGATCTTGCTTCAACGTGTTGTTCATCCTGAACAAAACTAATCTCTCTTCTTGGATGCACCCTTATTGGTGTGCACCCGTGTTCTAGTCCACTGGATCTTTTGGAGTGGTGAACCTTCGGCGCATACTGTGTCTCTACACAGGTGCCGGAAGCTGGTTCCACAGTGTACTGGCCTTCTACACTGTGATCTTGTGCAGTCATACTAACGACCTTATCACAAGTGAGGCCATCGCACTCACTCGCAGTACATCCACACGCTTGTGGACGCTCCAAGACGTTCATCAGATGGCCATCTGATGAACAAACGGCAGGCATCTTCACGGATCGATGCTGCCAGCTAACTCATGGCTGGTACTTTCTAAGCCATGACAGAACGATGACATCAAATTTTTCATCCAAATCCAGTACGATGAAGTCATCATCTTACTACTTTCCTTTTAGCGTGTAGTGGATTCCAACTACACGTTTGTTCACTGTTACGGATGACCTGAATTAAGGCACATCGTCATCCTTGTTGGAGGAAACTCTTGCTCAACATAGTTGAGTCGATTGTCATCTAGCGACGGGCGTCGAATAAAACTGTTCGACGCCCCACAGTCAACTAGGGCGCGAAGAGACTGTTCACTTGTCACCTCGATCTTCAAAGTGATGAAAGACACCTCATCACTAGGGGCAGTAACATACCGTGACTGTGCTGGGAGCAATCTTCGTCAAGAGTCCTGTGAATTATCTCAGCGTTTCTGGGTCAGCAGGATGCTCCGCCACTACTGACCCTGACCGTTTTTCGGCGGTCCAACTTTCTGTCGCGACTTAGCGACATGGTCGGACCCGCGCCTTGGACCATTCCTCGGCCAACGGCGATCATCACGTCCTGGCTTTAAACGTGTTGTGGTGCTTGGGACACTACACTCATGGGCGTATTGCCCAATCTTCTGACAGCGATGTCATCTTGCCGTTCGCTGGTGACTCAGAGAGCGAGAGTTCTCGCTCTCGATGTAACAGAGGTCCATTGGTTTGGGACCTCCTGTTTCCTGTCGTCTCGTCGGACGATAGTTTGAAGAGTTAGCCTGAGACTGTCTTAGGCTGAAGTCTTCTTGTTCCGCGTACGCTATCGCCTTTTCCAGCGTACGGAAGTCCTCTTGAAACATGTTGGTATCCACCGGTCCATCTACAAGGCCGTAGATGAACACGTTGATGAGCTTGTGCTCATAAAAAGAGTTTACCGTGACGCTACTTGATAGGTAAAGTAGGTGTTGTGCGTAAGCATGCACGTCACGCTTACCTTGCTTGAGCCTAAAGAGTGCAGAGCGTGCTCTGGACTCGGCTCTCGGCGGCTCAAACGTCTCTTTGAGCCGAGACTTCAAAATCTTTAAAAACTCAAACACGTCTAAGTCGTGAAGCTTGAGCCCTAAAGCCCAAGTCTTTGCTCGTCTTGTCATATTTAATAGGGCGAAGGTGACTTGCATCTTGTCACCCTCGATGTGAAGGTCCCTGATGGCGTCGTCTAACTCGACGAAACATCTCAAAAGGGAATATTCATCGGTTCCCTTATCCATTGAGATATCTATCTTCAAGGTTTCGGGTAGACGCGTGTGCGTCGGCCCATCCATCGGTTTGTGAGAGCCTTGCTGTTGTAGCAATGCGATCTTCTTTCGTTCGACGGCAAGTTCCCCTTGTAGGAACTCGTCGATAGCAGCACGTTGCTAGTCTCTGTATAGAGAATCAAACATACCACTGACGGCGGGCTGTCCATGAGCACACTCATGCGGCCGACTATCTCCCATTCTG